TGAAGTACCCCCCACCGCTTCAGGGGCCGGGAAGTAACGGCGAATTGTGCAGGGTTCCTTCAGAGCCACCGCGTTGAAAGGGGCCGGGAGGGCTACGAAATGCAACGGAAAGCCAGCGGAGTACAGCAGCCCGAATGCAGCGGAGCCCGCGTCCTTCTCGAGCGCTGGTGGGGAGACAGGAGTGCGCGTTCCGCGTCTAGGGCTGTTGTTGCTCCTCAGTGTAGTAGAAGGCTGTCCAACTGCCCATGTCCCTGCGGCGAGGGAAAGGGGACGGCGGTGCGGAGGCCGCGGCGGCGCGGCGAGATCTCGGCTGTACCTTTGAGAGAGATCTCGGCGAGATCTCGGCGAGATCTCGGCGAGATCTCGGCGAGATCTCGGCGAGATCTCGGCGCCTCTCTCCGCGCGGGCGCTCGTCGACGATCGGCGCGGCGACGCCCTCCTCGGGCAGCATGCCTGCGTCATGGGCACACCGAGGTCTGGGTGGGGAGATCTGGGGAGATCGGGGGAGATCTGGGGAGATTGGGGGAGATCGCCATGCGCACACCGAGGCCACAGGTGGCCGCAGGGCGGGAAGACGGTCTTGCAGCGGGACCACCAGAGCACCGCGGGAATGTGAGGGGAGGCGAGTGCAGCGGAATGCGGGGGAAAGCGGTCGAATGCGGCGGAGTGCGTGGCCTCTCGGGGCGCTGGTTGGGAGACGAGAGTGCGTCCTATTCCGCTTCTACACGAGGTATGGGGAGATATGGGGAGATACGGGGAGATGTTCCGCTTCTAGGGCACGAGACACGGGGAGATATGGGGAGATACGGGGAGATATCCCGCTTCTAGGGGAAGCGCACGCAGAAAGGCCGAGGCCGCAGACACGCGCACCTGGGGGGATAGGGGGAGATATGGGGAGATGCGTGGGGAGAGAGGGGGAGAGAGGGGGGAAGAGGGGGAGAGAGGGGGGGGGAGAGGGGGAGAGAGGGGGAGAGAGGGGGAGAGAGGGGGAGAGAGGGGGAGAGAGGGGGGAGAGGGGCGGGAGAGGTGTGCGGAGCTGAGTCTCGCTGCACATGATTCCGAGGACGAACGCCTCCGGGATGGCGTCGATGAAGCAGCCGACCTGTTCCGCACGCACACCGGAGGCGTCCGGTGTGTGTGAGGAGGCGCTGACGTCGGACGGTCGGGTTGCTGCGTCTCCCTTCTCGACTGTCTGTGCTTGTGCGTCTTGGGTCGGGGGTTGTGCTTGTATGTGAGGAGGCTCACGTGCACGGCCGGGCGCATGCCGTCGGCGACGCGGGGCCGCGCCCACAGATCATCCTCCCCACATCTCCCCACATCTCCCCATCTCCCGCCTCGAGATCCTCAAGGTGTATCTCTCCCCACCTCTCCCCACATCTCCCCACATCTCCCCACATCTCCCGCGCCCAGATCATGATGGCCGCGTCCCGCTCCGACTCCTTGCTCGTCGCCTGCGCGGGACGTGTCTCGGACGTGTAGTGGACGTGTCGCGGACACGGCGCGCTTGGAGGCGTCGCCTCGCGCCTGCGGGACATGTCTCGGACATGTCGTGGACGTGTCGCGGACATGTCGTCGGGGCTCCCCACCCTCCTTGCTCGTCGCCTGGCGCAGCAGCGGCCGCGGCGGCGCGAGCTTCTTGGGCGTGGGCGTGTCCTGCCATGGCGGCGACCCCGGCGTCGGAGATATGGGGAGATATGGGGAGATATGGGGAGACGTGGGGAGAGAGATGTCCTGCCACGGCGGCGACTCCGGCATCAGCGCCCCCCCTTCGGGCGCGACAATGTCGAGGCCAAATGTCGCGCCATCATCAGCATTGACAAGAACATCGCCGCCGCCGCCCGCCGCCGCCTCCGCCGCCTCCGCCGCTGGCGCCGGTGCCGGTGTCGCCGGCGTCGCCTCCTCCCGCGTAGAGAGACGCTCCGAGAAGGTCCGCTCCCCGGCCCCCCCCCCGGCCACCTCGGCGCTGGCCTCGGCGCCTCCCTCCGCTCCTTCGCCTGCCGCCCCGTCTGCCACCGCCTCACCGTCCTCCAGTTTCTGCGTCTTGAGGTCGGCGCCGTCCTCCTCCGGAGAGGCGAGCGCGGACGGCAGCGGTGGTGCGTGCCTACGGTACAGGTACGGACAGCTGAACGTCTCCACCCACACAAGGCGGTGGGGCAAGGAGGCTGCCTAACGCCATGAACGCTACCGAGGGCCGCACGCCGTGCGCTCTTCGCGCGATTGGCTTGTCAGAGCGACGGGTGGAGCTGGGGGCCACACGAGCTCAACGCAGCGGAGTGCGGCCCTGGTCCGTCCAGGAAGCGGCTACTCCCCACGGGTCGGTGGCCCTCATCTAGGGGCGCGCGCTCGACGTCGACGATGCGGGTGCGGGTCTTGCTGACCAAGCCCCTCAGCCTCTCCACCGCCTCCACGACCAAGCCCTTCAGCCTCTCCACCGCCTCCACGACCATATCCTTCAGCCTCTCCACCGCCTCCACGACGGCCTTCAGCTTCTCTGGGACCGGCTGAGCGCCGCCGTTGGCCGCGGAGATGAGGCCTTTTCGCTGCCGCTTCTTCCGCTCGCCGATGTGGCCGAGCATGCGGTGCATGCACACCTGAAGAAGCGGCGAGGGGCAGAGGAGGTGGAGGGGGGGGAAGGGGCGAGGGGCGAGGGGCGGCGTGGAGCGCGAGGCGCGCGTAAAAGGCGATGCCGAAGAAGCCGCCCAAGATTCCGACGATGCCGACACCGGGCGTGTCGTGGTCCTCGTGGAGCAGGTGGGCAAAGATCTCGACGGCGCCCGCCTCCAGCAACGCGCCGCCTCCAAACGCCATCAGCGCCGCGCGAAAGATGGCCGTCCCGACCAGCCCGTTTACGCCCAGAAGCGCGCCCATCACGAACGATGCGGCAGAGAGCGCGCCCCAGCCCGCCGCGGCCCACGCCCACGCGGCTCGGTCGGGATCCGCAGTCAGCGTGAGGGAGAGGGCGATGACGCCGGTGATGGCGTAGGTGACGACCTCGCAGCGGCTGAAGAGCGCTCCCATGAAGAGGTGGGCGCGCTCCGCGAACTCCATCGTTTTTCCTTTGACCGTGGCGAACTCCATTTTTCCTTCGAACAGAACGCCGTCGTCAGCGGACGCAGCCGCCGTTCTCACGTCTTCACATCATATAGTTTTCCTTTGCCCGCCGTCATCGGCGGACTTCGCAGCCGCCGTTCTCACTCTCACGTCTTCACATCATATAGTTTCTTTGCCCGCCGTCATCGGCGGTCTTCGCAGCCGCCGTTCTCACGTGAACCATGCCTGTTAAAATGAACTCGGCTCTCGGGGGCACGGGACGCGACACAATGTGTTGACCGTTTTCTTTTCTTTTTCCAAAGAGAAAAAAGAGATCCCGCCTCGAGCATTTACTTGCCAGAGGAGGTCGGCGGGGTCTTCGCACGCGCGATTGAGAGAGAGAGAGAGATTTAGATTTAGTGCCAGTGCGCTCCAGTCCCCGTGCCAGTCTTGAGAGAGAGATTTTTAGCAATACCAAACAACTCTAACACTCACACGTCATTTGGGGCCTGGAGCCTTTGTTTGTTCCAGTCTTGTGAAAAAAGTCCTTCATTTTTTCCGCACGGCTTCTCTCGGCTTCTCGCGACTTGTGTGTGTGAGTGTACACACACACACTCTCTCACACACACACAAACACAACAACTCTCTCTCACACACACAAACACACACACTCACGGCTTCTCAAAGTGGGGTGGAGGAAGGCAGCGTCCCCACCTTGCTCCTTGCGGAGCAAGGGTTTTGGGAGGACGATCGGGGAGAGAGGGAACGCGGGACACAACTCGACACGGAGAGAGAGGGGCTGAGCAAGAGATATCGAGTTTTGTTCTGAGCAAGTCACCCAGGGACACTGGGCATGAGACCATCGTACATCCATCACCGTCTCGGATTTGTGTGGAGTCGAACCACTCCGGGATGGGCAAGCCCATCGTTCGAGTTGTGTTTCCCTGCCCCCGTGCCAGTCTTGTGAAAAAAGTCCTTCATTTTTTCCGCAAGGCTTCTCTCGGCTTAATAGAAAAAAGGAAAAGAAAAAAGAGGCCGCGAGAGGCAAACCTGCGAAAGCCCAATCCATAGCCCCGCATCCCTCCCCTTGTGTTGTCTGAGTAGTACGCATCGGCATCGATCGATCTGTCCGCCCCCCCGATTGGCGCTGAGGTCGCCGCGGTAGAGCACAACCTTTTGACCCTGCCCCGCTTTATGATGATGCTTACTGACACGTCGCACTGGAGCGGGAACTCCGAGCAGCCCGCCAAACAGGCGAAACAGCCTCGCAACTGCCTCATCCTCGCATCGCTGCTCCTGTTGCTGGTGCTCACGCCGCCCATAAAGAACGTCTCGCTGCAGCAGCTGCTGCAACATGGGCTGCCCTACCCGTGGTTGACAGTAGCCGCCTGCCAGCTCGCCCAATGCTTTCTCGTATCTGTGCTCTGGATCACAGGGGTCCAGCTGCAGATGCCCGGGATGCGGCTGCTGCTTACCGCCTACGTGCCTGTCTCATGCCTGAGGCTCGCCTTCTCAGTACTTCGGGCCATCAGCATCAAGAACCTGACGCTCCCGCTCTTCGCCGCCCTCAACGCCGCCAAGTTCCCTTTCACCTACGTGGTCGGAGTGATCCTCGACAAGGAGGCCTGCAGCCTTGTGCTCTGGGCGGTGAGCATTTCCGCCTCTGCGGCTACTGTTGTGGCTGTACTGTACGCGCCCAATCACGGGGACTCAGCCGCACCCAACCTGGGGCTCGGTGTTGCCACCTCACTGAGCGCCTCCGCAGCGGACATAGCACTCATGTACCTGATCCAGCGGGTAGCCAAGGGCACGCCGGCGATCCAGCTGATGGCTTACACCTCGCCCTTGTACTTTGTGTTTGCTGCAGCCGGCAGCGCGGTGCTCGAGCTGCCTGATATGCTGCGCACTCCGCCTGACATGAGCCCGACCGAGGTGGCGCTGCTGCTCGCGACCTGCGCGGGCAGCATCAT